TTCTAGCCTAGCTAATCCACCCGAACCAACCCCTCCCCAAGCTATCCTAGCCAAGCTATACTAGCCTAGCAGACACTAACATAGCTAGACTAGCCTAGCAGACACTAGCCTAGCTATACTAGCCAAGCTATACTAGCCTAGCAGACACTAACATAGCTAGACTAGCCTAGCAGACACTAGCCTAGCTATACTAGCCAAGCTATACTAGCCTAGCAGACACTAACATAGCTAGACTAGCCTAGCAGACACTAGCCTAGCTATACTCCAGGAAGTGCTAACGCTGCTCTGTTTTCATTGTGGTACTACTACTTCAAATATTGGTGGTGTAGACACTGAGTACTGTCCCAGACAGCTGTGAGTGAGTACTACTACAACAGGTCAGTGATGGTACTGGTGATCAGGTGAAGCTGCTGAGTTATCGTTTGACTGTTTCCATGACGTCATCGTCTGATTTTAACGAGCTCCTTAAATCACACCGACGTTCCTGTGAATAATTCCTCCGTCAGCGCGTTCCTCTTGGAGAAAGCGTGGACTTGCTGAGATGTTGGGATCTTAAAGGCCAAGATTGTATTTCAGTGATTTAGTGACGACACTTTAATCGTTTTTATAATGTTGAGCCTCGTGGATTTTATACTGGAGCAGAAAAAGTTTGTCGCAGGTTTTAGGTTTTTTTTTTTACCTACAACGTCGAGGCTCTGCACGGGAAGTTTAGGACGGTGGAAGACTGAGGACAGGGTTGGACAGGGTGTGGGGGGGGGTCAGGAGGGGGGGGTCTGCTCAGGCAGCAGTTTAGTCTCCAGATTAGTCCATTAATGTAGCGTAGTACTTTACTACACTTTACTACACTTTACTACACTTTCCCCAGTATCTTAAAGTGTACTGTAGTAATACTGCAGGTCGCAGTATCAGTACTCTAGTACTCTAGTACTCTACTGTAGTATCAGACCACAGTATTGTTGCTGACCATAAATAACTTTGATTATCAACGTATGGAGTACACTGAAGTGTACTGTAGTACTCTGAAGTGTACTGTAGTAATCTAAAGTGTACTGTAGTAATCTAAAGTGTACTGTAGTAATCTGAAATGTACTGTAGTAATCTGAAGTAATTTGGGTTCAATAACGTTTTGATCTGAAATAGTTAACCACGTTAACCCACGTTAACCGTGGTTACCATGGTTAACCATGGTAACCACGGTAACCCAACAGTTTCATCTTAAGCCACTGTTTTTCTTCAGCACATGAATTCACCCAGAGAGAAAATTCACTCTGAACTAACAAGTGTGTGTGTGTGATTATTATCTTCTCATACCTGTAGAGGGCGCTGTAGGTTGGGATTATTTATTTTGTTGATCCTCCTAATCTGTTTTTCTCTGAACTCTTTGACTGAGGTTTTGTTTTTTTGTTGAAACTCAACTCTTCGTCTGGAATTATAATAAAAAACTTTTTCAACTTTATCTTCTGGGACTTGAAGAAACCAGATCCACCAGAGTTGATCAGACTGACGACACACACGCCCACCACACTAATTTAAAATACCTATTCTTACCCACACTCAAACCCACCCACATAATGAATGTCTTTGCCCCCCCCCCACCCCGCCCCCCGTCTGTGCTGCTGCCTTATTTTGGCTCATTTACAGGCGGCCATCTTTGATTAGTTTCCTCAGGGTCACCTGGGAAATCATGGGTGAAATAAAACCACCTTCTTACTACGTCTCCTGTTTAGTCAGTGAAGGTTACTGCAGATACTGGGTCAGAGGTCAGAGGTCAGCCCGTTCAGCCATGGAACCAGTCCAAACCAGTTAGAGTGTTGTTGTTGTCGTTGTCGTCGTCGTCGTTGTTGTCGTCGTTGTCGTTGTTGTCGTCGTGTGGTTTTCGTCGTTGCCGTCGTTGTCATTGTTGTCATCGTCGTCTCAGTCTGTGGTCACTGTGACTCATCAGCTGCTGTCGTCGTTGTTGTCGTTGTTGCCGTTGTTGCCGTTGTTGCCGTTGCCGTCGTTGTCATTGTTGTTGTCGTTGTTGTCAACAGTGACTGTGACTCATCAGCTGCTGTCGTCGTCGTCATCATAAATTATGGACTAACTCCACCCTCAAATGTGTCCCCTTTCATTCAGGAGCCCCCACTGGCCCCCACCTGAAGGAGGACAACTCCCACTGGCAGCTCCACGCTCACTACTACCCCCCCCTGCTGCGTTCAGCCACGGTCAAGAAGTTCATGGTTGGCTACGAGATGTTGGCCCTGGAGCAGAGAGACCTGACCCCTGAGCAGGTGCGGTTGCTCAACATCTGGCTCCTGGGCCAACTCCCTCCCCCGTCTTTACGTGTTGCCATGTTTGTTTGTTTTCAGGCTGCAGAGAAGCTGAGAAACCTGTCAGACACTCACTACAAAGACGCAGGAAACTGAGGGAGAAGAACAACAACTGCTGGTCGGGGAAAACCACGGAAATACACCGAAGGATAAATAAATATTCATCAGTGTAGTACTAGTTACAGTACTACTGTGAATACTGTAAACAGACAGGTATCTGACAGGAATAAAAAAAAAAAACTGGTTCAAATATTTATATTTTTAGACAGTTCTAAAACAACTCAGTTTTATTGGTGACAGAAGAACAGCGTCAACAATGAAGTGAGACCTGCGATGACCTCGGAGGTCAGAGGTCAGAGGTCAGAGGAGGAGATCTGTGGATGTACGACACGGAGACGGTCGGGGTAGAAGTGCAGACGGTGACAGAGGCAGACGAGCCGCTGCGGTGACCTCTGACCTCTGAAGTGTTGTTTATGTTGTTGTTGACCTTCTCCTCCTGGAGGCTGAGGTCCAGCGTCTGTACATGAAGATGAGGTTCACAGCAGGTGGTCAGTTTCTGCGTCTGCTGTAACAGTCTGTAACCCTGCTGTTTCCACGCGTGCAACAGTCTGTAACCCTGCTGTTTCCACGGGTCTGAACAGAAACATCGTTTTATCTCCAGTGACGGTCGGGGCTGCAGAAACTTCAGACGAACATAAATAAATACACTTTGAAGAGCTGTAAACATCACATTTGTTAAGCTAACGGTTAACAATGTCTTTGATGTCTTGACCTAATGTAGCTAACGAAAACATCTGCGTTTTAGCTTTTTCTGAAAAATAAATCAATGTTGTTTTTTATACGACAACAAAAAATACATTTCTGAACATTCTCAACAACGACCAAGGAATAAATGAAAGTAAATAAATATTAAAGTCAACCCAGAAGGACAGGACATTAGCTTAGTGCTATCTGTTAGAACACGTTAGCCAACGGAACCGTAAAAGTTTAGCTTTGGACTGTAAGAAGAAAACATTCTAAGAAGATCTGCCCCCTTGTGGCCTGAGAGGTAAATGTCTTTGAGGAGACCGAGACCTGTCCGTTTGTCTCCTCTGAAGACGGTTCTCTTAGACCAGGTTTGTGGTCTGACGCCCCCCGGGGGCCGAACCCTCAAATAACATGCGATAATAATCACATTCTTGTTGAATGTGATTATTTGATGTTAATTGTTGATGGTCACATGATCACCGTCGTAGAGACTTAACTAGCTTGACCGTCCTACCTAAGTCCAGGTTATCTACTGCCCAGGTTTCTTCTCCGAGGACCGTCCCGCCCGGGGCTTCGACCCTCAACCTCTCGGCCGTGATGTAACACTGCGCTGGTTCTTCTTGAAAGGCTGATTTTTGTTTACCGCGTGTTGACGGACGAGAGAAGAAGTGAAGTGAATCTGCTTCACGACTCTTTCAAGCTGTTGCATCATGGACTCTGACCTCACGTCTTTCTTCAATCTGGCGAAATGTCAGCGGGAATTTTTTTAATTTAATTCTGACACAAATATGAGGAAGATTCCACTTCCCAAGGTCTCATCTTCTCACAAACACCCCTGGGCTGGGTGAGGGGGGGGTGAGGGAGGGAGGGGTGAGGGAGGGATGAGGGAGGGAGGGATGAGGGAGGGGTGGGCAGCACGGCTTCACTGTGACCTCACCTGTGACGAGACAGGATTAATTTATATGGATTATAAAGATGGATCTGTAGATGATGGATGGATGGTACTGTACTGTATTGTACTGAACTGTACTATACTGAACTGTATTGTACCATACTGTACTGTACCGTACCGTACTGTACTGACCTGTCCAGTCCAGTCCCGTCCAGTCCC